CACTCACACCATCCCCCACACCTCTCACACCATCCCCCACACCTCTCACACCATCCCCCACACCTCTCACACCATCCCCCACACCTCTCACACCATCCCCCACACCACTCACACCATCCCCCACACCTCTCACACCATCCCCCACACCACTCACACCATCCCCCACACCTCTCACACCATCCCCCACACCTCTCACACCATCCACAGGGTGTATTGAGGCAGCAGCGGCGTCTCATTCAACAAACCTGACTACAAAAAATAGGTTATCTTGAGGTTATCGTGAGATGATTTTGGGGCTTAGTGTACCCCGCAGCCCGGTCCTCGACCAGGCCTCCATCCCCAGGAAGCAGCCCGTGACAGCTGACTAACACCCAGGTACCTATTTTACTGCTAGGTAACAGGGGCATATGGTGAAAGAAACTCTGCCCATTGTTTCTCACCGGTGCCCGGGATCGAACCCAGGGACCACAGGATCACAAGTCCAGTGTGCTGTCCGCTCGGACGACCGGTTCCCGGTCCCGGTTAGGCTAGCTAACTTCCTAACTCCCCTAATACATCCCCCACACCACTGACACACACCCATTTATTATGCACTCGTCATTTTGAATAAGGAATATGATTGCGATGTGTTACAAGCCACTAAAATGGTAAAATTTTCTCTTAATTTTGTGAAAAGCATCAAGTATAATCCAGGCAGCCATGTAATGTGGAGTCAGCAGTCACCATAACTGATGGGTTGACAGGCCTCCACTCACATCCTCCTGTTCCCTGATGCCTTACCCCCCCCCCCCCCCCTCACCACTGACAACATCATTTATTATGAGTTCTTCATTTTGACTATGGGATATGATAGAGCAATGTGATACAAACAACTGAAATGGTGACATTTTCTCAGCTAATTTGGTGAAAAGCAGAGTGTGTGTGAACTTATCGAAGTGGAAGCATGGAGGCGCCAGCCACGTGTTGTCAACTAGCTGATAACTGATAACCAGAGCTCACCACTGACCCCACCTGCCTCCTCTGACACCACCTGCCTCCTCTGACACAACCTGCCTCCTCTGACACCACCTGCCACCACCTGCCTCCTCTGACACAACCTGCCACCACCTGCCTCCTCTGACACTACCTGCCATCACCTGCCTCCTCTGACACTACCTGACATCACCTGCCTCCTCTGACACTACCTGCCATCACCTGCCTCCCCTGACACCACCTGCCACCACTTGACACCACCTGCCTCCCCTGACACCACCTGCCTCCCCTGACACCACCTGCCATCACCTGCCTCCCCTGACACCACCTGCCACCACCTGCCTCCCCTGCCACCACCTCACACCACCTGCCTCCCCTGACACCACATGCCTCCCCTGACACCACCTCACACCACCTGCCTCCCCTGACACCACCTGCCATCACCTGCCTCCCCTGCCACCACCTCACACCACCTGCCTCCCCTGACACCACCTGCCATCACCTGCCTCCCCTGCCACCACCTGCCATCACCTGCCTCCCCTGACACCACCTGCCACCACCTGCCTCCCCTGCCACCACCTCACACCACATGCCTCCCCTGACACCACATGCCTCCCCTGACACCACATGCCTCCCCTGACACCACCTGCCTCCCCTGACACCACCTGCCATCACCTGCCTCCTCTGACACCACCTGCCACCACCTGCCTCCCCTGCTACTGCCTACCATCCCTGCCACCATCTCACACCACCTGCCTCCCCTGACACCACCTGCTACCACCAGCCTCCCCTTACATCTGACACCACCTGCCTCCCCTGACAGCACCTGCCTTCCCTGCCACCACCTGCCTCCCCTGACACCACCTGCCTCCCCTGACACCACCTGCCTCCCCTGACATCACCTGCCTCCCCTGACACCACCTGCCTCCCCTGACATCACCTTCCACCACCTGTCTTCCCTGCCACCACCTGCCTTCCCTGCCACCATCTGCCTCCCCTGCCACCACCTACCTCCCCTGACACCACCTGCCTCCCCTGACACCACCTGCCTCCCCTGACACCACCTGCCTCCCCTGACACCACCTGCCTCCACTGACACCACCTGCCTCCCCTGACACCACCTGCCTCCCCTGACACCACCTGCCTCCCCTGACATCACCTTCCACCACCTGCCTTCCCTGCCACCACCTGCCTTCCCTGCCACCACCTGCCTTCTCTGCCACCACCTGCCTCCCCTGACACCACCTACCTCCCCTGCCACCACCTGCCTCCCCTGCCACCACCTGCCTTCCCTGCCACCACCTGCCTCCCCTGACACCACCTGCCTCCCCCTGCCACCACCTGCCTCCCCCTGACACCACCTGCCTCCCCTGCCACCACCTGCCTCCCCTGACATCACCTGCCTCCCCTGCCACCACCTGCCTCCCCTGCCACCACCTGCCTTCCCTGCCACCACCTGCCTCCCCTGACACCACCTGCCTCCCCCTGCCACCACCTGCCTCCCCCTGCCACCACCTGCCTCCCCTGCCACCACCTGCCTTCCCTGCCACCACCTGCCTTCCCTGCCACCACCTGCCTTCCCTGCCACCACCTGCCTTCCCTGCCACCACCTGCCTTCCCTGTCACCACCTGCCTCCCCTGACAACATCTGACACCACCTGCCTCCCCTGACACCACCACAAATGATGCCAGCCACCTCACCAAGGTCAAACATTCACACAACCTGTGCTTGTTTTATTGGCCTACTCAAAATTTAATCTAAATGGACTTACAAATTGTTTTGTTTAAAATAATATTGTTTGTGGTTATAATTAATAAAATATTGTTTGTTTTGAAGTTTTATTCATTTTATACAGTACAGTACTGTATTAATACCTAATTTATTACATAGGCTGTTAGAGGGAGGGAGGGAGGGAAGGATCAAGGACCCCCCCCCCCCCATACTCTCCCAATGACTCCAGGACCGACACACTGCTACCCGGCCACACAATGCCAAGTCAGCTGTTGTTTTCTACACCCTAATTGTCTTAAAAATTCTGTGAAAAGGAAATGTATTCCAACTGTTTAAAATACTGCACATATATCACAATTTTCACCACTATTATTGCTTCAGTATGACATTTTTCTAATAAAAATACTATTTTCAGTGTAGATAATACGATAATTAACATCATTAAATTGACTCGTGACATCTGACAACGATGAGAGGAGAGGAGAGTGAGTAGTGGCTGGCCTCTGGTGGTCAGGTGCTGGAGGGAGGGAGGAGGGGAGGGGCTGGAGGTGGAACATGGAGGAGCAAGCCACGTGTTGCCATTTAGCTGATAACTGGGACCAGAGCTCTCCACATGCACAACCTGCTTCCCATGACACCACTGTTACTCCAGCTTCCCCTGACAACTTCTACCACTGACAACCTGCCTCTACTGACACCACTATTACTCCAGCTTCCCTTGACAACTTCAACCACTGACAACCTGCCTTTCATGAGAATACATAACTTACACCACCTGCCCCCTAACAATAAACCCTAACTACTGACACCACTTGCCCCATGACAACAACTCTCTCACAAATGATGGGCCGCCCCCCCCCCCCCCCCGACACCATTTTATCATCCTTCAACCATTTCTCCCTAGAAACAATGGGTAAGGATAATAAAACACTGTATAACTGTTTACACTTTGGCAAATCATAGTTGATGACAGCCAGCTCCGACGCTCGGCCTCGGTGACTGCTTGGACGAACAATCCTTGCTTAATCGAACATTTGTATGTGCCACTGAACATTTGATACTGAATTCAATTTGTTCGGCTTTTCCGGGAATTCAGTAAAGCGAGATTCGGTAGAGTGAGGAGGCACTGTATACATGAATGAGAAAATCCACAAAGTTTTACGTAAGACCCTGAGTGCTTGGGGGGTTGTACATTAAACTTGGACTGGCTTCAGTAAGGGCCATAATGATGGGAATAATGGGAATGGGAATGGGGGGAATAATGATGTCCGACGATCTAACGTTTAGGGAGCATAACCAAGCAAATATCGCGTCAGCCAGAAAAATGATCTGATGGATTACGAGAACTTTCAAATCCAGGGATCCCATCACAATGGTTGTACTCTTCAAGTCACTTGTATTGTCCCGTCTCGAGTACTGCTCAGTACTCACTTTCCCCTTCAGAGCAGGAGGGATTGCTGAAATAGAGGGAATACAGAGAACATATACGGCACGCATAGACGAGATAAAACACCTAAATTATTGGGATCGTCTCAAAGCTCTCCAAATGTACTCTCTAGAAAGGAGACGAGAGAGATACCAAATAATATACACATGGAAAATACTGGAGGGCCAGGTCCCAAATCTACACAGTAAAATAGCAACGTACTGGAGTGAACAATATGGAAGAAAATGCAAGATTGAACCAGTGAAGAGCAGAGGTGCCATAGGCACAATCAGAGAACACTGTATAAACATCAGAGGTCCACGGTTGTTCAACGTCCTCCCAGCGACTATTAAGAAATATTGCTGGAACAACCATGGACATTTTCAAGAGAAAACCGGACGGTTTTCTTAGAGAAGTTCCGGATCAGCCGGGCTGTGGTGGGTATGTGGGCCTGCGGGCCGCTCCAAGCAACAGACTGGTGGACTAGACTCTCACAAGTCAAGCCTGGCCTCGGGCCGGGCTTGGGGATTAGAAGAACTCCCAGAACCCCATCAAGCAGGTATCAACCAGGCCTCCAGACTTTCTATGATTTCAGTAGAAAAAACTGGTTGTAAGACTTCTACTAAGTCATTGATGGTACAGTGATAGAGTATGCAACTGCCTATTGTGGATTTTCTCATTGATGTACTGTATATCACGGTAGTGTGATTTTTTTGTGTATTATTATTATTATTATTATTATTATTATTATTATTATTACTTCAATTATTACGACTACTACTTACTACTACTTGAAACTTCTAAATATAAATAAATATCATTAAATAAATAGAGACAGATGTGGTAATAATATGTTGTGTTGGCATGCAGGTTATCGTCCAGTAAGCAGGGTAAAGTATACAGCTTGGACGATCCATTTCCTCACGCTTACCTCACCCGTCATGGCAGGCTCAAACCTTTTAAATGTTTACATGCAGAGGGCTTCAGTAGTGAATACAGACAGGTAAACAACTGGTTGTTTCTTGATGTACACACACTCGTCGATAAATTATGTTTAGACTTATCAGCTGTAGCCAAATTCGGTTGTGAATGCTTCTATATATAAATATGCAATTCTTGACAATATTTTAGATTGTGATTGTCAGTTTTGTCCTAGCTTAAATTTTGTCGCAGGCCCTTTGCCATGTTGTTTTATTTTATCAAAGACCCCTTTTTCCTGTTGTGACAGCCATGTATTGTGTTTTGTGGACACCCAAGTTTACGATTTGGAGATGCCGTTCATTTTATAGACATGTGGGGCAACAACTCTCAGAATGCTATACTCTTTACAGGTGAGTTGATATAGCTTGTAATACTGTATTAAAGTTTTTAATGTAGAAATATTATCAAAGTTCACTAATTATCAACAGTATTCATACTGTTAACCCTTTAACTGCGCGGCCTATAAATATGACACCCCCCCCCCCCAGTGCGCAGGAAATGAAACCTCGGGAAAAATTTCTTTTTTCTTCTGAAAGTGTCAAAAACCCCTCTCTGTATATGGGTATAGCAACGGAAGTTCAAAATTGTACTTACTTTGGCTGCTATGGGGTCCGAAAGGTGGGCCGTGACGTCATCATTCCCCGTGCGCCAGAGCAGTATGCTCTCAGGGCCGGTGGGGCGCCTGGGGCGGGGCGCGCGAGTTGTCGCGAATATATTTTTGTTCATTTTTTGCCCACAGTTCTAAATACATTTTATTTGTTTTTACGTGCTAATCCTATGTATAATGAACACGTACAATACATTATGGTAGTAAAACATCCATACTGTCCGAGGACACTGTTACGTGCATGACACTTGTGTACACATATCTTGCACATATTTACCATGTATCATGCTAATTTATGTATATATACAATCTATTTACAGACTATACACTGTCACACAATATATACATTCACCATCAACACATTCAGAACACCGCGAGTGTGAGCAGCCACACCCAGCCAGCCCTCCCTCACTTCGCCAACATTGCCCCTCCCATCATACAGTTATTCACACCAATGTTTCTTGTTCATTTATATATATTTTTACAACATATGTACACACTATACACTGTCACACACTATATACATTTACCATCAATACATTCAGAACATCGCGAGTGTGAGCAGCCACACCCACACAGGCCCTCCCTCACTCCAACATCTTACTCGCCAACTTAGCTCCTCCCACCATACTGTCATTGTTTTTATTACACTATTTACACATGTTATATATACTTATCTACATGTTTTATTTACTAGAACTATGCAAGTAAGCCGGTATTGTGTCCAAACAGTACAGTGGCCATCATACACTGCATGAGAAATCACACAGCAGACAGCAGACGATGCTACAATTTCGATGTCACATCCCTCACCAGAATAACTCGTATGGGCCAATAGCAGCTGCCTCGTATTGGCAAATAGGAGCTGCCTCATATCGGCCAATAGCAGCTGCCTCGTATGGGCCAATAGCAGCTGCCTCGTATGGGCCAATAGCAGCTGCCTCGTATGGGCCAATAGCAGTTGTCTCGTATTGGCCAATAGGAGCTGCCTCCTATGGGCAAATAGCAGCTGCCTCCTATGGGCCAATAGCTGCTACCTCCTATGGGCCAATAGCTGCTGCCTCCTATGGGCCAATAGCAGCTGCCTCGTATGGGCCAATAGCAGCTGCCTTGTATGGGCCAATAGCAGCTGCCTCGTATGGGGCAATCTTGGTCTCTAATTTCTGTAAATGAATAATTGACCACAAGTTTATTTTGAAAAGGAACCTAAGAAGTCGTTTGAAGATTCCTAGATGGACGAAATCATCGTGAACAAGCACTGTGAACATCGTGAACAGCATTGAATCACTGATATTTGAACATTGTACCCAGTCATTATCCCACTCAGGCTCTTCTATAATACTATCACAGCTAAATAATACAGGTTATATATATATTTTAACATTATATATATTTTGACATTATTAGGCGATGCTGTGGTCACAAGCTGAACAGCAGTGCTGTGCGCTCATGCTGCAAGCGCCAGTCTTGGTTGCTCACTCACTACTGAGGCTCTGACACCCGGCAATGTGGACCATGATTTTTTTTAAAGATGGCATCTGTTTACAAGAGCCCTGAGGAAGCTGATGTGAACCCCATGTATCCGCAGGAGTTTTGAATGGAACGTGAAAAATAAAAACACCTGGAGGCACGTTGCGCACACGAAGCCTGGGCCTGCAGGCGCGTTGCGCAGTTAAAGGGTTAAGGTACATCAGCATATAACAAACATTCCATGTATTTTTCTTGGAACTTTTATTAGTACTGTATACAGTATGTAATACAGAAAATCCTTTTCTAGAGGCTTGTACAGGCAACATTAATCTTCTCACTGTAATTTATTTAGAGAGGCAACAGAAGCTTGCTTTCACCAATCCTAGACCATCGGAAAATAGGACTATTATTTTTCCTCTCAACTTTAGACAGAAATCACATTACTGTCCTTATTAATCCCTGCATTCTGCATCTGTTTCATGTAACAATTCCTTAGCCCACATGAGGAAAAAAGAATTTCTTTCTAGTATTGTCCCAAGTGCTATACTGTATTGTCATAATGGCTTAGTGCTAAGTTCTAACTTAATTCTCCTGATAATTATTTTACCTTCTAATATTGTTAAAATACTTTGCCTGATCACTGCAAAGTTAAAAAAAAATTGTGTAGCTTATTCTGGTTGTGATAGAGAGAGGAAATCTTGTGATGACAACATGGATTCGTGAGCACTGATGGATGAGACACCTTGTGGAGGTCGCCCAGGCCAGGCAAGTGGCGGGAGTTGCCACAAATATATTTTTACTGATTTATTTCAGTGTCACTGATTTCTTTTTTCAGTGATTTTTGCAGTTTTATTATTCAGTAGTCTGTAATTTTAGAAATTTCTATAATAAAACATGAGGAACACTGATACACACAAATACGTTCGTGCCACTAAAATGTGCAAAATATTATATGCTTTGGACGATAAAACATACTGTTTCTGTGGGGAGCCCCTACGGCTCCCTGGAGCTATCGAGCTATATGTGATACATTAGACCGAGGGCATTAGTCTATGGAGTTCAGCCTACCGGGGTCCACGAGCCAAAACCTGGCCCCTCAGAAGGGTGCAGGGAACAATGGCCTGGAAATCCCCTGTTGTTGGGGGTTTTCCTTATCTGCCATTGACCGGGGTTAGGCATCCAGAAAGGTAGGCATAACAAAAGAAACCCCACATGGTAAGAAAAATTACAACTAAAAACCGAACATAGGCAAAACTCCCTTCAATTCCAAGGAAACAAGCAAATGTCACACTCCACCGCCTCCTTGCTCATCCGCACAGCCCTCCTCTTCCTGGGAGGGGAAGGGAAAAACCCCGAACCTCCCTGCGCCGGCTACCTAGCACTCCAGTTCGTTTGCTAATGTGGTCCGGGGCGGAAGTCTTCTCTGGCCTCAAATTCCAAGGCGGTGTTCTGCCATCGTGGCAACCTCTGCAGTGTTTTTTGTGTGTGGTGGCCAGGGGTCCTCATCAGTACCAGGGCTGCATGTGCTTAGGAGCATCCCTCCTTAGGCACCCTGTGAGTACTGCCCTTGTGTGTTAGAGTTCTCTTCCCTGGTGCATTCAGGAATCATTTCCCTAGGGGATTTTTGCTGCTCGACATTTACCCAGGCCTTGGGGTCAGCTGGGGTTTCGTGGCCCTTGTTTGGCCTTGGGTAGGGAGTGATATCGTACTGGTTGGGGCATCATAGTGTTGTGTAGCCTGCCTACCTACGCGGCAGCCGGTTCCTGTTTCCTCTGAAGACGTACTTTTATAAGGTTTTTCTTTTGTTTTTGTTCCTGGTGGGGGGTCTGCCTGGTGTAGTTATAGTTCCACTTCTAATATTTTGGTAGCCCTCTGCTAGATCTGGGACTCCCCCTTCCCCCCTCCCAGGGAGGGGGGGGGGGGGTGCGCAGACGGCGGCGCGGCGATATGATGACGTCATGAGGACTAATTTTCGGTTGGGGAGTTCTGTCCACCTGTTCGGTCTTCGCTTGCAATAGTTTACCAGAATAGGGGGTTTGTTTTGGGGCGCCTACCTTTCTGGGTGCCTGTCCCGGTCGTTGGCAGACATAGAATGCTCCCAATCATAAGGGGGGTCTCTATAGGCCATTGCTCCTCGTGCCTCTCTAGAGGGGGCCAGGTTCTGGCTCGTGGTCTCCGGTAGGCAAGAACTCCATGCATTGACTGATGTCAGAAAGTTATACATATCTATTCAGCCTGGATAGCTCCGGGGAGCCTCAGGGACTCGCCCAGAAAATGGCGTTTCATTACATTCAACGCTGGATTTTTAGTGTCCCCGCAACCCGGTCCTCGACCAGGCCTCCACCCCTAGGAAGCAGCCCGTGACAGCTGACTAACACCCAGGTACCTATTTTACTGCTAGGTAACAGGGGCATAGGGTGAAAGAAACTCTGCCCATTGTTTCTCGCCGGCGCCTGGGATCGAACCCAGCACCACAGGATCACAAGTCCCGTGTGCTGTCCACTCGGCCAACTGGCTCCCAAAGCTAGGTTTAGGTTGCTGCAACGCTCTAGGTTGGTTGCGGCCCCAGATGCCTTGAGACTGCCCTGTTTTGGTTAAGGGGTCCGGACTTGGGGGTGGGAGTCGCTTCAGTTTTGGTTCCGTCCGCTCCTCCTCGTCCTTCCCCTTCTGTTGTGCATACTTCTTTCCCCTTGATTCCTGCTGCGAACCGTAGGCGAGTTTTGGGGTTGGAGCAGGGTCTGGTTGGTTTGAGACTCGGGTGGTCTCGGGGATTTCCCTCTTCCAGGGTGGCGGCAGAGGTATTCGAGCCTGTTCCTCCAGCCGTGCCATATGGGTCTGACCAGTGGACTCCCTTCCTTAGTGTTGTATGACTGTCCCGGCTTTTACTTGTGGGGCTGGGGCTTTGGGGGCAACGACTCGGCCCGGGTCCTGCCGTAGGGGTTCCCAGGGTTGGGGAGTGGTTGCCTGGGGGGCCTAGGCCCCGTTTTCCCCCGCTTGTGGTTTTGTACCCTCGGAGCGGGGTTTGCAGTTCAACAGAGTGGGGTTTTCACTTCCCCCTCTGCATTCGTGTTGGTTTCGGGTCTACCCCTCGCTGGGTTCGGTTCCGTGTCCTTTCGGGTCCATTTGGTTCCGTCCGTCCTAGGGGTGTTTTTCCCCCCTTTCCTTACCTTTTTCGCACTTATGTTGCGACTATTCCCTTAGTTTCGGGATCCTTGCATGTCCCTTGGTCTGAGGTCTTTGGGCCCGTATGTGCCTTCGTGCACTTGTGCTTGT